GAAAGTTCACGCTACAGAAAAAGGTAATTGTGGTGTTTTATCTAAGTTGTATACCGGTAGCGCCCAATAAATCTCGATCAATTATTCTTTCGGTAGGAAAAAATGAAAATGTTTCACATTGATTTGATCCGTTTTAGTGAGTTAAAAAAGGGGAACAGATTTGTATGAGATTTCTTTTCGTATAAATATGCTCTAATTATCGAGAAGTACGCCTTCCTCTTTTGCAAATATGTATATCCTATCAGAAGTATATAAAATGTGGATATCTTTAAAACAGGAGCAGCTAGGATTTCAATTTAAGCGGATTCTTAACCTTAGGATATCAACAAATACAACCCTGCTTTCAGATCTTGTCGACATTTTTATGCAACCTATCTTCGCTTCCTGCCCACCGTGTTTTGGAAGTCGGTTAAAAAGTAGTCTTTTGTATTATTGAGATTGTCCTAGAACTCACAGTCATCGTACAATTCCATAAGTAACGTAAATATTCGTCTTCTTCTTCTTTCTGGCAGGCTCTAGATGCGTTTTTGGTTCAGTGTGTTTGAGTATTTTGAATAAATTGTTATAGAATCGGAAAAATTGTATTATATGAGAGTTGAAGTCGGTTTTGTTTTTTGCTTAAAAATTACTTGTTTATTTATACAACGTTCGTTTTATTATTATTATTTTCTAATAGATATATATTTTATGAGTTCTTCGATGGATTTGATTTCTACCCACACTTAATTTCAAATGTAATGAATTTTTAAAAGTGTTTAAAACAATATCTAAATATGCTAAAAACATGTAAATTAAAACATTACGAAAAACTTGTTTAAAACGTGTTTTTATCTTTTTTGAATAAGACTCGATGTTTTTGTCTTTTTAAAAGAAAACATGTTTTTTTCAACCATGCTTTCTGGTATTCTGGAAAAACCAAAAAGTGGTGTTTCAGACGTATATCAAGCTAGCAGACCATGGTCACGACGCGCAACTCTAACCTGTTGGGTATTTAGTTGCTAATTTACACTATTCCCGATTTAGTTGCTCATTACGTTTAAAAGAGGGGGGGGGGGGAATAATGCCAAAATCTGAGTTTTGCTTTATTTCCAACGAAGGTTGGAAATAAAACAAATTTTGCCTTATTTCCCATTGCTTATTTATATTATTTGTAAAAAAAAAAAAACAGTTTACTGACAGAAGGAAAAAGAACTTTGTTTATTCCAAAAATACAATTAAACCAAGGCACATTGAACAGGTAATATCAGTATAGCAGCTGATTTGATTTTTTCAAATTATTTGTTCTCGAAAATGTCAAATATTTTACATTTCTTCTCACAAAAATTCTAAATTGTTAAAATCTTTTTGCATGTGAAACATTTTCCATACAAAACCAGCGATTAAATAGCAGCTTTTGGAAAGCTCGCCCAACTCAGCAGCACAACCGCTGATTACTGGGCCTGGCACAGGATGGTGGGTCAATGCTTCGAGAATCGAACCAATTTACTAAGAAAGAAAGTTGCAACAATTTTCATTTTTTCAATTTAAATTTTTTACCTTTTTCGTATTTCGCATGGCACGCTTTGATGTAGAAGAAAAAAATCAGAACAGTTTTTGGCACCTTCGACACCAGAAGCAACAACAAAATACAGGCAAATGTTGTTTTTGCTCAAATGCTCTAAACCTGTTTGATAGGCCTTGAATTAAACAAAAAATGTGATATAATTCATATGAAGAAAGTAATATTCACAAAATATTTTTACTTATGAAAAGTCTAACAAAATATAGGAAAAGCATCGTCTTTAAAAACTGCTCCGCATATTGGACATAGCGCTTTTGTATGAATTTTTTCTGCATGCTTTTTAATATGTTGTTAAAAACATTGCTGGAAAACCTTAAAATGTTTGCATGGAACCATGTCGCAATAAACAGATGAAGTAATAAAACAGCTTTCTCGCTTTATTTTCTGACATTCGGCATTTTATACGCAAATTTTCAAATAAAGCAATGGCACCTGGTAAATTCCACTATGGGTGGGATGCAGCATGCAATAACACCATACACAATAATTCCCATTACTTGGACATTAAAAAGCAGTTTCAGAAGTGAACTAGTGTTATTTTATAATTTTTCCTTTTTCTAAACGGTTATAATGCCACCAGTACATAATTGCGAAAGGAGGGGAGGGGCGGGGGACGCGAGCGCGACATCGAACGCGGAGCGGGGTGGCGCGGGGCGGCGCGCGAACGCGGACTGCAGCGACGCCGGGCACTTTCAAAATTGTATATTTACAAATCCGTCCATTTAACTTGTTCATGTACTACTTTTTGTCAAATGTTTCTCAAAATATTTCGTTTTGTTTATTTCATTGCTGCTGAAAAACAAACAAGCGAGCATTCGCGAATCTCCGAATAAGCGAACAAATCGTTTATTTGAATTTCTATTTCATTACTCTCACAACATCCGCCTTTCAAAAGCATCAGACGCTATGAGTTTTTACTCTCTTATTCTCCTGGCCTAGATTATTTCTGCGGTCTTTTGACAAAACAACTTCTCTCAAGTGAGGTCATTTTCTCTTCAAGGCAGTAATTCATTGAGTTCTCGAATGATATTTTTATATTTAGTCATTAAGAGTAGTGGAGGATGATAAAAGTTAAAAAAAATGTTAAATTTTTAAATGGAAGTTCCTTATAACTTACTCTAAATTCCACCCTACAGAAAGCACAGAGGTTGTTTTGTCAAAAGTCCACAGATATACATTTAAGTAAATAGGGGCTTTCCTCAAATTAACCAGCTTTTGCATATCATACTTTGTAAGCAGTCACCGACTAACTCTCTTGCCGTACAGTTGTGCCTAACAAGTGAATTCCGCAGTTGAGAAATTTCCGTGAGCTTACGTGCTATTTCCACGTGTTTTTCACTTATTTGTTACTATACACACTAAGTTCAAATTACTTGGTTTGTAAAATATTTATAATGATATCATTGAGTGTATTATATGGGTAAAATACCCTCGTTTCCCTCGGGGAATCGATTTGGCATGCTTTCCGAAAGCATGCTAATTTCCCCGAAGGCAAAACGTAAAAAATCTAATAAAGAAGTGCCTTTTCCACCACTATCAGATGTGACTCAGAATTACAATTGCAATGACCCTAAATTCATTATCATTAAATCCACCGACGTGTCCAACTCTTTATCAAAATACAGCGTTTTTGCTAAAAAGACGGCCATTGATGGCATTAGCACCGAATACCTATCAGTGAGTATTCTACGCGATGACAGCCTGCTGCTTCTAACAAAATCTCATAAAGTTGCTGAGAAATTTATTAAATGCAAGAACTTTGGCGGCCTATGTCCCGTCTCTGTGACCTTTCACGACTCCCTTAACACTTGTAAAGGTACAATTTTCGACAAGAATTTGGCACATACGGATGAAAAAGAAATTCTGGAGGCTGTGAAATCGCAAGGAGTTGTGGGTTTGTACAAATTCACTAAAACCATTAATAATGTAAAAGTTCCTACAGGCAGAATAGTTCTATCGTTCAACCTATACAGAATTCCCCACACCATTGACATAGCATGGTATTCAGTGAGAGTTGAGGAATACTTTCCTACTCCCATGAGATGCCGCTCATGCCAACTGCTAGGTCACACCATAAAAAGATGCAATAACAATACTACTTGTGAAACTTGTAACTTTCCACCTCTTAGCACACTACCATGTCAACGCACAATGTGCGCTAACTGCTTTGGGCCCCATCCCGCATCCGCCAGAGACTGCCCAAAGTACTTACAAGAGAAAGAGGTATTAAAAATAAAAACTCAGAACAAATGCAACTATGCTGAAGCAAGACGTCTATACAAACTACATAACCCTATCAACCTAAACCAAAAGCAAACTTACTCATCAGTTCTAAACTCAACACAAGCTTCTCACCACAATCTCATGAGCAACCCCAGCGATCACACCTCTTCAAGTGGCAGCGCTGCAGCCTCCACTCAGCCACTCAACTCCAGTAATCAATCTCATCCACACTCCACGGACACGGCTTTTTCTAGTTCTCACTCAATCTCACAACTCTCATTGGATCACACTCACACTCCTTCAATAGCTATCACTTCATCGACAACTCAATCTCTCTCAGCTAACTCAAACGATCAAAACAATATGCACTCAACAGAAAACACCTATTCTGTCTCTCACATGCATTCTCCAACCACACCAACTGACAATACCATGGACTGTAATCAAAACAATTGCAATGATGGAAATTATACTTCCACATCGCACTCTCCACACTTTTCTACCCACCACTCTAACCCTCTTACTACTTCCTACAATTCCTACAACAACACAAATATTGAATCCACAACCCAACCAAACACAAGCCTCCAGTCTCTACTAACCACAATATCCGAAATGCACAATAAAAACATAGACTGTGAGCTTCAAGAACCCGAACTATAGGTTATTTTCAATCGAAAATAACACTAATAGTAAGCATTAATAATACAATACTGATGGTTAATATTCTTCAGTGGAATATTAAAGGTTATCAGAATAATTACCTAGAACTAGAAACTCTAATCAAAGATCGCAAGCCACATATAATTTGTTTACAAGAAACCCACATTAAACCTACTTATTCACCATATTGCCCGAAGCAATATACACCGCATTTTCACAACTTTTCCAACATTAACTATTCTAAACAAGGCTGTGGATTATTAATCCACAAAAACCTCCAACACAAAAGAGTCAACGTAACTTCCAATTTATCAGCGGTTGCCGTCGAATTCAACGTTAAATATCCAATCACTGTGATTTCCGTATACATTCCTCCAAATCAGACCTTTTCTCACTCAGATATGTCGCAACTTACCTCTTCAATAAACACTCCCATAATTATATGTGGCGATTTCAACGGCTGGAGCCCTCTTTGGGGTTCACCAAGCGCTAATCGCAGGGGCGCAATTATTGAAGATTTCATTCTCGCTTCCAACTTGTGCGTTCTCAATAATAATAATCCCACCCACTTCTCCACTCACAAATCGTTTACACATGTTGACCTTACCATTTGTTCACCACAACTATTCCCCATTGCATCCTGGCACACGCTCGAGGACTTACACAACAGCGACCATTTTCCAATAGTTTGCTCCTTTTCCATCTGCACCCCTAATACGCCCAGCATTAAAACTATTTCTGGGTACACCACTACTAAAGCTAATTGGGAGAAATTTAACAATGTATTAAGTGACAAGCATTTTCCTTACTTCGACAACAGCAACCCAAATAAAGAAGCCTCAACAATTCAAAAGGCTATAAGGGAGGCAGCGAACTTAGCAATACCACGGACGCATCCACGTAAAGCCTCAAGAAATGTGCCCTGGTGGTCGCCAGAACTGGGTAAACTACGACTTGAGAAAATGGCAGCCTGGAGAGATTACCAAAGGTGCCCCACTCTTGACGCACTGATAATTTACAAGAAGCGTAACGCCAGATTTAACAGGGAAAAGAGACAGGCAAAATCCACTAGCTTTGAAGAATTTACCAAAAAACTAAACCCTAGTTCCTCTACTCGATACATATGGAAGGGGATAAAAACTCTGACGGGGACATATCAGCCTTATAATATTCATTCAATAATAATAAATAACACCGTAATCACGAACCCACATTCAATTTCATTAGAATTTGCACAGAAAATTTCTAAATTTTCGGAGACATCTAACTTTCCACCCCAATTCATAGCCTCTTCCAACAATATACCTTACATGCGTGCAGCCGATACCATGGACCGCCTTGCTCTTTTCCTTGAAAATAATATTAGTATTGCTGAAATAGATTCTGCTTTAAAATCATGTAAAGGTAAAACCCCAGGCTTTGACCAAATAAATTACGATATGTTGCGCCATATTCCCATTTCCGTCAAACATAGACTACTCCAACTTTATAACTCAATTCTGAACGTCGGCATAATTCCGCAGAGTTTTAAGACAGCCGTAGTAGTGCCTATACTAAAACCACATAAAGATTCTTCGCTCATAGAAAGTTACCGGCCCATCTCCCTAATACCATGCATTAGCAAAATAATGGAGAAAATTATATCAAAAAGACTTATGTGGTTTTTAACGACCAAAAAGCATCTAACACCATTTCAAGTTGGATTTAAAGCCGGCTCCAGCACATTAGATGCCTTACTTTTTCTAGACCACCATTTATCTAAAAATTTCTCGACAAAAAACCACTCATCTGTCCTTGCAATTGATTTTGCTAATGCTTTTGACAAAATTGGTTGTCACATAGTTCTCAAAAAGCTTCAAGATTGGCAAGTGGGACCCAAAATCTTCAATTATATAAAATCCTTTCTGAGCAATCGTAAATTTCGTTGCAAGGCAAATAGCTGCTTCTCTCCCATTTTTGCTCTTCACAATGGAATCCCCCAAGGATCTCCACTTTCTGTGACACTCTTCTTAATAGCTTTTGAAGAAGTTAGCAAAATTATGAGCTTACAACCTAACATTAAGCATTGTCTATACGCCGACGACTTATTCTTAATATGCAATAATAAGAAAATTGCTGAAATTGAAACCTCGTTTAGTACAGCTCTAAGAACTTTGGATGAATGGTCAAGACATTCGGGTGCTCTTATTTCACTTGGGAAATGCAAGCACCTGCATGTCTGCAGAAAACATAATTGTAATCAATTAAATATTAAATATAGCAATCACACTATAACTAATGTGAATTCTATGAAAATTCTAGGTGTTATCTTTGATAATAAACATAGTTTTAAGCATCATTGTGTTAAATTAAGAAGCGAACTAGCTACCAGATTGAATATTGTAAAATATTTATCATTAAAAAAAAGTTTTATACACACGAACACGCTACTTAATATAACTAAATTAATTATACAATCTAAAATTGACTACGGTCTGCAAATATATGGAAAATGTAGTAAATCTATCATTAATAACATCAAAGCACCATTTCACGCTGCGGTACGGAGAAGTTTACGTGCCTTTAGGACAACACCTATTACAAATATGCTTGTGGAAAGTGGTTTTCAAACACTCGAAGAACGCACGGAGTACCTCAGAAGTCGGATAATTCACAAAATATTCTGCGACTCTACACATATACTTCACCATGATATCCAACTACTGAATAAAAGAAGAAGACCACTTTCACATAAATCGGCGTTATGCGAGGTAAAAGCCCTCGCCGACCATTTAAACCTTAAGATAACTCCAATGAGAATACCTCAAACAAAGCTTCCACCCTGGGCTCTAAATACAGAAAGCTTTATTGAAAACCTGTGTTTTTTACGGAAACAGTGCACCAACAGCACAATATATCAGCAAACTTTCTGGAGCATAGTAAACCCTCTGAAACGAAGTGGTTGGAATCTCCTTTTCACAGATGGCACCAAGCAAGCCAACGGCATCGCATTTGCTGTTACAAACGAAGCTGGGCAAACCCTTTCTCACGGACTTTTACCGCAGCACGCCAACATCTTCGAAGCTGAATTACAGGGCATAATTTCTGCATTAAATCTTGTGAAAAGTAAGCAAAAGGTTCTAATATGCACCGATAGCCAATCAGCATTCAATGCTGCAAAAAACATTCGAATGGATGTAGGTCCAATATATCACTTACAACAATTGCTAATTAAATCAGCACCAAAAACGAAACTGATGTGGTTACCTGGACATTCTGGTATACTCGGAAATCAACATGCTGACAATGCCGCAAATCTTGCTTTAAAATCGTGCCTACACTTTTACAATCCGTTTGGTACAACATCAATTAAGAACATCTACTCTAGCGCTTTAAAGTCACACCTGGGCACCATTTGGAATCTTTACCAACATGAATACAAAGAAGTAAACCCCCACGGTACCGCTATAAGACTGCCAACCGCGACTACTACTTGGATGAACCGATGTTTTGTACGTTTAAGGCTGGGACATACCCTTTTAACGCACCAACACCATTTGACAAGGAGTCCGCAGCCCATCTGCAACTTCTGCAATGCCAACCGCTTAACCACACGTCACATCCTACTACATTGTCCATCTATCTCCGCTATACGTACGGCAACTTTTGAAGACGCAGACCCAATCAATATTCTCTCCATCCCTACTGAACCAAATATTCTAAAAATGGCTAAAAATGGCAAATTTTCTTAAAGCTATAAATATCTTTCAACTTCTTTAGTCTTATAATTTATAAATATTTACTATCATTTGACTAAGCCGATAGCCCTGGTAGCTAGTGCAATTAACTTAGATTAATTTATAATTTTAATTATATTTTAATAAATAAATAATAATAATAATAATAATACTTTGTAAGTGTGATATCTGAAAAACATTCATGCAAATGAGCGATGTATAGAAAATCTACGACGGCATTTTATTTTCTGCTACGAACCAGAAAACCAAAGATTTTCAAGAAAAAGACATAATTTAACCCATGCTAAGGACTTGAAATACATGTTTTATTTTTCATAAAATCAAACATTTATAATTTCAATTTTTAATTTAATTTTTTTGTGCATAAGTATTTTGCAAAGTAAATATAATTAATAGTAATTAATACGTTACATTTGTACCTGTACACTCTAAAAAGTGCATGTAAAGCAACTACTGAAAAGTGTCAACCAAAAGCTGCATAAATATACGCATAAGATGTTCAAGATTTGATTTTGAACATGAGATCTTTAAAATATACACATGAAATGTTTAAAATTGTAAACATTTTTAAACTAAAAATACTTTTCCTACTAATAATAGACATTAAGGGCTCATACTTAGAAAAATAATGGTAAAATGAAGAGCTTTATAAAAAAAAATTTTCACACACACACGTATATTTTATAAGTAATGAGCTACAAAATCGGGAATAGTGTAACTAATGAGCAACTAAGAAGCAACAAAATATGTCGTTTGCAGAACTCTGATATCTTATCGGGAACCGAAGATATAGCAATGGTTTGCTAGCTTAAGACATAACCTAGCAGATCACACGTATCTTTTAAACGTAGTGTGCAACTAAATCGGGAATAGTGTAACTAATGAGCAACTAATAAGCAACTAAATATGCCATTTGCAGAACTCTGATATCTTATCAGGAACCGAAGATATAGCAATGGTCTGCTAGCTTAAGACTTAACCTAGCAGATCACACGTATGTTTTAAACGTAATGAGCTACAAAATCGGAAATAGTGTAACTAATGAGCAACTAATAAGCAACTAAATATGCCCGTTTGCAGAACTCTGATATCTTATCGGAAACCGAAGATATAGCAATGGTCTGCTAGCTTAAGACTTAACCTGGCAGATCACACGTATCTTTTAAACGTAATGAGCTACACAATCGGGAATAGTGTAACTAATGAGCAACTAATAAGCAACTAAATATGACGTTTGCAGAACTCTGATATCTTATCGGGAAC